GGGTGTCCCGGGCGTCCCGGCGCTAACGCATGTCGCTAATTTCATAATTCATTTCTTTCGGCGCCTCCGGCGGGCTTTTTTCTCCAGTCCAGCGTATTTTCCCCAATACATATTGTCCAATCCAATACATCTTATCTTATCCAACCCATCTTGTCATTTGTCCCATCTTATCTTATCCCACCAAATCCAATCCACCCAACCCAATCCATGAATTCATTTGTTTCTGCGCCTGCGGCGGGCCAATCCAATCCACCCTATCTTATCAAATCCAACTCGTCCAATCCAACCCATCTTATCTTATCCAATCAATATTATCCCATCCAATCCACCCAACCCATCTGATCTTATCCAGTCCATCCCAAGTGACAGGTTGAAGGTCAGTCAGGGTGGCCATTTGATCTCAATCCCCCCGACCTCCTTATCGCCCGCAGGGCGGTCGTATAGGTATGTACATGTCTGGCCGGTTCTCTGGGCGGCAGGTGTTGCACATTGTGTTTGGGCTACCATTTGCAACTGAGTGGTGGACAAGCATAACATAATATAGATGGTATTTTCCTGGCCCCGAGATAGCGCCGACGAGGCTTCTGGGCGGCGCTAGGCACCCAGCGGCGAGCGCAGGGAGGGCGGGGGGGAGACTCCTCGTACTGTTCCTCGTACTTGAGGAACGTCGGGAAGAGTCCTTTCCGGGCCTCGCGCGCGGGGGGCAGGGCACGACGGACTCACAGGGCCACCGTCGGTCCGATCTTTGCGGACGATCAAGGATCGAGGGTTTAGGATTTCGGGCATGTCTGTTGGTTTGGCACGTTTTGGGATTCTCCAGGGGACTCTGGGGGGGAGGGGCTGGGAAAACGATGCCGCAAGCGGCAAATCGCGTGAGAGGCGCGAGGTATTCCGCTCCTTCGATTTCCTCCGCTCTCTCCCTTCCTGAATGAGGGCATCCCGAGCCAAGATTCTACATGTGGTCTGGTGCATGCATCTGAACGCTGAGAAATACCTGGCTAGGCGATTGCGAACGATTCGAAGGCGCATCGTGTTATATCATATACCTCATTTGCCTGAACAGATCACGACGTAGTGCCATACACATATGCCGTATACGGGCACATACTAGGTATGTAAGTCTACTCATTGTCAGATGCTCCTATCGGTCCGAAGCCGTATAAGAAGTTTACCAGCGTGGACCCCAAGCAGTCAGACGTTGCAGTGAGGATCCATAGTGCATGGCGTGAAGCGCCACTGCAGCCCTGTATGCGAGACACAAGCAAACAGTAGAACTACGTGCCACTGCTGGGCACGCAAGTGAGACCTGAACATATGGCACGAAATCTTGTAGTATACCGATTCCTGGGAGGTATGGCCAAAATGCGTCCTTCACATAGCTTTTACGATAAGAACCCGGGCCACCACACAAATAATATAAGAATGCTTGGGAGTTGCCGACTATGTACTGATGGTCGCGTACATGTATGTGTATGGGAATGCGGTGCGACGTGTTACATCATGGCTGGGCAATGATCAAAACATTACTAGACTTCAACCGCGTAAGGCACATCCAAATGCGTGAGCACTTAGTACTTACATGTGGTAGGTATATCCGTGCAGCAAGGTATGCCTCAGCCCATGCATACACATCGTCGCGCCATAGGACACACTTGCTCATGCGCATCGGCCTTATTGTGGGGCGAATGCATGAGGCGCAGAATAAGTACGACGTATCATGGTAACGGTATGTGCGTAACTCCTGTTGTGAAAGAGTTAGTGCGTGTATTTTCGCGAGGGTACATCGCACTTTCAGCTGCGGCTGTGTCTGTCACATCATGCCTTCGTCGTGCAAGGTGTGTATGTGCGTGGGGAGAGGGAAATGGCGGAGTCGCGGCATCTTCAACGTGCAAGCGACATGCGCCACGTTGAAGGCACGTATATTCTTCACAATGGACTCGGAGGATATACGTGTTGTGCGTCGTTGTCCATTGTAAGCGTAGTGGCACTGCGAATTCGTAAGTGCTGCGCAAGTCCCAGTTGCAAGGGATCGCAAGCATAAAGAAGGCGTGACTTATGGTGGGGTCAGAGTTGATGTTATCGAGACCATTGAATACTCTGAGCCCTGCGCGGGCGACATGCGCCACGAACACAGCCTCCCCCTGCTCTCCGCCCCCAGACCTCCTACATGTTGCCTCGTCCCTCCCTTGCCCACACCAGCTACCCCTCCTTTCGGCGTCTCATCTCTCATGCAGGTGCCGTCATCCCTCCTTCACTCCTTCTCAATCTTATCCTTCCCGCCCCGTCGCATCCTGGGGAATGTCGACAGGGCGGGCCCGGCGGCTCGCCCGAGACTTCCGCACCGGTAATGACCCTGAGGCTGCACACCGGCAGGAGCTCCACAGACAGAGGGCGGGCCGCTTTCAGGACGTGACTCGCGCGTTGGCGCCAGGCACGCTCGCTTCAAATCCATTGCAAGATCTTCAAGGATGGAAGGCGGTACGTTTCCAAGATCTGGCTCTCGCCTCAGCGCCGCGCACAGTCGTCTCAAAACAGTGCGACAGTTTTTCACCAATGGAGGCCGGCCGCGTTCAAAACGGGGTGCTCGGCTCAGCGCCGCGCACGTTCGCATTCAGGGCTCGCAGCAACTTCACGGATTCGCATGGCCAACGTTGCAAAAACTGTGTTTTGGCACGTTGTTGGACTTTCAGGGCGCAACAGTTACGCTGATTCACTGAATTGAAATCCCAGGGATGGTGTTCTGGCACGTCTCAGGATCGTCGAGACGCAACATTAACAGTGATGCGGAGCGTTGATATCCCAGGAACGGTGTTGTGGGCACAGTTCGGGATATTCAAATAGTTGTCTTCCAGCGGGGCACGTTCCCTGTGAAAATCCTTGTAGGGACCGTTGAAGAGGCACCTTGAAAATTGCAATATCTTTGATGAATGTTGGGCTTGCACTGGTCCTCCTCCTCCTCATCATCCTCATTATCCCCCCTCCTCCAACCCCCGCTCATCCTCCTCTCCTCCTACCTCCCTCCCTCTTCATTATATTTCCTCTCCTCTCTTCTGCCTCCATCATCCCCCCGCTTGCTCCAAGCTCTTCCCCCTTCGCCCCCGTCACGAGACAACCAAGACGGAACCGTCCCCGTGCCTCACCTTTTGGAACCTGAGAATGGGCACCAACACCAACACCAGGGGTTGCCTCCACGGGAGGAAGCTGATCCTGGATTTTGGTGTTGGTGGTTCTTCCGTCACCTAGACAGCCCGAACATTACCGCCATCGCCGAAGTCGGGATCATCTTCCCTCAATGGAACCACACCGCCGATGTTGGTGTTGGTGTCAACCTCCGGGCCTCCGAACCTTCCCTGGATCAACCAGCCACCTGCCTGACTGACTGCTGGCCGATCGTGCACACCGGGGCGCGTGGCTCGCTCCTGCGCAACCTTGTCGACCCTCCTGCCAGCAAGGCAAGGGGCAAAGGTAGAGGGAGCAGAAGGCAAGGAGAGCGAGGAAGCAGAACGTGCAAGCGGAGGACAGGTGGCGGGAGAGGAGAAGAAGAAGGAGGACGAGAAGTACGACCCGGCGAAGGAGGAGGAGGCGGACGAGGGAAGAGGATAAGGGCGAGGACGCGGAGAAGGAAAGGAAGAAAGGGAGGGGAGGACCGCGAGGAGGAACAGGAATAGGGACGAGAGAAAGAACGGGAGGAGCGGGAAGAGAAAGTAGAGAAGGAGCGGAAGGATGAAAAGGAGGAGAAACAGGAATGAGAAAGTGGGGCCAGGAATGGAATGAGAGACGGGGGACGGGGGAGGAAGGGCGGAGGAGGAGAAGTGCGAGGAGGCGGAGGAGGAGCATCAGGAGGAGCAGCAGGAAGACGAGGAGGCACGCACGCGTTGGCCAAGGCGGATGATCGCGAGACAAAGGAAGGCGTTGGGCCAGGTGGGGGTGCGCAGGGCAGAGGGGGCGTGAAGGGGAGGGGGAACGGAGATCAGGAGGTAATGGGGGATGATAAGATTGTAATGGCGGGTCGGAGGGGAGAGAAAGGGCGAGTGCGCGAGCGGCGTCAATGCTGGGTACATAGGGCTGGCGCCGGAGCAGGAGGTGCGGTAGGGGCAGAAGGGATGGGCACGGGGAATTGCTCTTCATCCAGCGACCTCAGGGAAGACAAAAACCAAATTACAAAGTCTCCGTCGCTGAATCAATCTCTCACCCCACTTAGGGGTAACCTGCTTGGAGCAGTCTAAGCTGTCGCTGTTCCCACAACTTCGTGAGAAAACATCATACGTTCGGCAGAACTACTGCAATGCACGACGCACTGGGGAGAAGAAAGGGGATAGCTGGGTAAGGAGAGACTGGCCAGACCGTGTTCAGCCGCTATGCGTCCGAATGCTGAAAGCTTCAGTCGTGCGTCGCCGATCAGGGCCATAATAATGTACACTGCATGGTTCCATTAGGTTCACCATACGTGCACAAACAGATGTGTGCCTAAAACATGTGTATTAACATAAATACACACATCTTTATATACACATCAGAGTGAGGGGGCCGTACGGTCATTCACTATCCCTGGGTGCGTGGCTGAAGAAAGGTTCCGCGGCGCGGATTGTCGTCGTCGTCCCACCCGCGACCCACCCGCGACCCATCCCATGACCCAACCGCGACCCACCCGCGACCCATTCGCAACCCACCCGCGACCCAACCCACGACCCAACCCGCGACCCACCCGCCACCCGCGACCCACCCTGCGACCCACCTGCGACCCAACCGCGACCCAGCCGCGACCAAACCGCGACCCACCCGTGACCCGCCCTCACCCCATACGGGAACGAAACCCATGCACCGTACCATGCGCCGCTCCAGCGCGGTACAATGCAGAATTTGTTCGGCCCTGAGGCCCAAAAAACGATGCACCGTACCATTCTTGGGTCGAGACTCAACGACCCTGGGGAAACCAACAAGCGCCAATACGGCCACTCCCAGGACCTCACCAGGAGGGTACGACCTGACCAGAATTTCGAGGCGAATCCAGCGGCGGCGACGACACCCTCCCAGGAACCCTGACAAGGGGAACACGAGGCAAGGGTTGCGGTATGGGTACCCTCGGGAGACACCAACTCGGAACAGTGCACGCAAGTCGTCCGCGGATCTTTGCCGCGATGGCCCGAAGGGCCCACGTGCGGAGGCGCACGCGCCGGGGCCCCCGAGCATGGCCCCCGCACCCAGCTCCTGCGCACGCCAGCGCCACGGCCAGCGCTGCTGGTGCTCGGCGCAGACCTGGAGTGGCCCCCGCGCGCCAGGGCGAGGGAGGCGAGGTATTTCTGGGGGGCACGGACTGTTGCAAGGGGCGTAAGCTGTCGCGCTGGAAAACATGTACAATTGCATTCGCGCGCAGCTGTTGTACCCAAACCACAAAACGATGGAACTATGCTAAGCCTACTGCAAGTGATGTTGCACCTGCTCTGGCCCCCACAGCTTTGCTACACCCAGTGCTTTGGCTCAGAAGGGAAGGCGAGGGGCAGGGAGGCGGGGGTTAGCGCAGGGAGGCGAGGGACGGGAGGAGGGGGGGGCGAGCAGGAGGCGAGGAGGAGGCGAGGAGGAGGCGAGGGAGGCGAGCGACGGGACGGCGAGGAGGAGGCGAGGGACGAGGCAGGAGTGCGGGCCAGGAGGGGGCGGACTCGCGCAGCGATGGCCCGAGGCCGGGGCGCCCGGCCCTCGCCACCCTCGTAGGGCGAGGAGGAGGAGGAGGAGGAGGAGGAGGAGGAGGAGGAGGAGGAAGGAGGAGGGGAGGAGGAGGAGGAGGGAGGAGGAGGAGGAGGAGGAGGAGCCCCCGGAGGGAGGGGGGGGGCGCGGGGCGGGGAGGCACGCGGCGGGCGCCGAGCGGCGCTCCTCCGGCGCGCGGGCCAGGGGAGGGCCTCCCCGGGAGGTCGGCGGCGGGGCCGGGGCGCCCATCACCTCTCCTCCTCCTTCTCCTCCTCCTCCTCCTCCTCCTCCTCCTCCTCCTCCTCCTCCTCCCTCCTCCTCCTCCTCCTCCTCCCCCCCCACCCAGAGGATCCATCACTGCCTCACCCAGGCCGCGCGTTCCCTGCTGAGAGCGCGGGGCGGCCGGGGCACCCGCGCCGCCCTGAGAGCAAGGGAAGGCGACGGCAATACCAGCAGGGCGAGGAGAGGCGCGGAGGCAAGGGGGGGTCTACACCTGGTGGTGTGGCCCCCCCTCTCGCGCGGGACATCCCCAGTCTCTCGCTCGGGGAGGCATCGTGGGCCTCCTCGCTGGAGGTGGGCCCCCTGGTGGTGTTGGTGTCGCTCCTCCTCCCTCCGAGAAAGAAGGCACCCGCAGAATGCCAGAATCCGGAGACAAAAAGCCCTCCCCCGAATGGCCGCGCTGTCGCCGCCTCTGCTTGGGCAGCGGAGCCCGGAGGGAGGAAGGATAGCATGTTCGCGGTGATAGCGGGCGTTATGGGGGGGGAGGGGGGGGGAGAGGGGGCGGGGGGCGGGGAGGGGGCATAACGTAACGCCCCACCCCACACCCCCCAACGTGACAGACTGTGGTGCCAAACGAGCTGCGGGGGAGCACCGGGGAAAGGGGGAGCGTTGCGTTATGAGGGGAAGGGCGGGGGCACAACGCTCTCCACAGAACCAAGCAAACTCTCAAGGCAAGGGAGGGAGCCCGACCTCCCCACGCCGAGAAGAGATCACGGCGGAGGGTTCGTCCTCGTTTTCGGCCTCTGGAGGGTTTGTCCTCGGCTTCTAAGACGAAACCAGAACGAGGACGAAATCGTGTGATTATAAATCGGGAATCTCTGAGATCCAGTGTCTCTGGAGGATGTCTTGGGCACCGCGGCCTCCTCAGAGCGTTCCGGAACGCACGTGAACGGATATATCCTCGTTCCGTCCGACGCATGGATACGGCTGCCTTAAATCTCCACAGCACTTATACTACAGCACTTCCATGTCGTCTGGGCGCCGCTGACAGTGTCCCTGGCTGGCGCCGAACACCAAGACATTTCCATCGAGCATGTCGGTTCTTCCGATGCTGTGGGACGCATGGTCTACTCAATCACTGGACTTCAGAAGCGGAGCCTTGGTCTGGGCAAAACGGTGTATGCGCGCTCATTGGAAACGGACCAGGAACCCACAGAGGGTTGGGGGTGGACGCTGTCATGGCTGAACTCGCTTGGATACCTAGTATAACACCGCAGCACGACAGACGGAAACTCCTCAAGCGGCTAGTTGTTTATGAAACTCCTACTTCACGCTGGATGCGGTTTGGACGCGGCAGCGCCGTTACGACGTGCAAATTGCGCTACGTAGCTGAGGACAACATCGAACATCTCGCGGAATGTGCCGTCACCAACGTTGCTTACGAGACCGTTTGTGTTCGCACAAGCCTCTGGGACGAATGGCACAAGGAAAACGCGTTCTTGGGTGTGCCACTGAACGGCGTTCCACTGCAAAGGGTCCTAACTACTTCATTCGCGATCGGCCAGGCTTGTAATGTTGACCCCTCACCCAGGTTTCGTGGGGTTCTCGACATGGACCAGATATTTGGGGCCCGAACCTGGGATACATGATGGGGGGCGTCCATCCTCGTCGATAGGGAGGCGTCCGAGTAGCCCCCTTAGGAGGGTGTATCCCAAAATTTCCTCCTTTGTCCTCAGCGGCCAAACTTTTCGGGCGGAACTTGGAAGACGGGGGAGAAAGATCGGCTGCCAGCGTTTTTCAATGATGGGCACAACCTGTACCGCCACAAAGGCGACCGTCGAATAAGACGCGTCCGCCTCCCCCCTCCCGACGCGGCCAGAGGGGTCTTCCAGCTCCGGCTGGAAACTAGCGCGCGTCGTCGGACACGCATCTCATCTACTTTTAAGTCGGGCACGTCCCCCTACAGGCGGATTCTGGACAAAAGACAGTCAAACAATATTCAAACATGCTTCACGATAATCGAAAAACTCGTCCCGAGACTATTTTTTACTATTCTGGGATATTCCACCTGTAGAGGGACATGCCCGAAAGAAGGCAACTTCCGTCCTTCAGCAACAGCGTATCCGAGTACGGAGCGGTTCTGAGCTGCCTTCGAAACGCTGCTGCGCGTCGAGCTCGCCACACATGTTTCCACGCAGATTGCATGCTAGTGGCACGGCAGTGCTCAATTGCAGTGGCAGTGCAGGTGTCGGGAACTTCTCCCTCTGTGGGAACAGGCGAATGCCTGTCTGAGACTCCTGCGACTGGGCGGCGAGACAACAGAAGATGCACACTTCCGGGGGCTTTGTACCTCGGGGCGGGCACCTCGAACAACTGTTCGGGGTGATCAACTTCGTCAGGGTCGTGTACATGGCGCTTTGGCTCTGAGCGGTATCCCGTGGTGGCCGCGCTGTCTGGGTGGCACTGCTCGTGAATGCTCCTCCTCCCCCGTGTCTCCCTCCTCCCTTGTTCCTCCTCCCCTCGCCCTCCTCCCCGCTCCTGGCGTGGCTGGTTCGCCTCAAGCGTTCAACTTCTACGCGGGCCTCAAGGCGTTCCGAGGCATGGATACGCCGCACCTTTTGGAGTTCCAATTTCAGATAGTGTTGCTGACACTGGAATTTTCAAACATGTGTGATGCACCTCTTGCGTGCGCCTATAGCGCACGGAGCGGGTGACATTTGGACATGCAGATGAGATACGACCATCAAATTTGAATTACCAACTGCTTGTAGCCTTGATGTGGTGAAAGGGGCCCCGGGACTGTAACGAAGCAGGCGGGGATGAACAACGGGGCGTGGCTCAGGCGTCCAGACCCCTTGGGGGTCGACGTTGCGAACGAACACGCGACCTCGGACGTCGACAATCTCCGCCATCGTCACGCCTGGACGAAAACCACACGAGGGCCAATCTTGGCGGCGAACGCGGGGGGAAAGTGAGAAGGGGCGGGCCTTCGGAAGGCTCAGAGGTCCCCCCCCCGCCTTCTCAAACATTTGTGAAGTCTCCCCCGAAGACACTGAAGACTTTTCCTGAAGGCGTGTGGACTTCGGAGAAGTCCCGCCGCCTTCTGAGAAGGCCTTCTCCTTCTCAATTTCCCCCCCCCTTGCCTGCTGCCGAAAAATAACCCAGGGACGTACCCAACCCTTTGGCAACAGGTGGCATTATCAACTGGCGCTTCCAAAATAGCTGAACATCCGCTGGACGTCCAAGAGGCCCACGAAAGAGACGACCATTAAGAGGACCGAAAGCGTGGCCCCTCCGCTGGGCCTTCAGGAGCCCACGAACGTGCCGACAGTTGCGCAATTGGCAGCTCCCCCCGCAGGGAGCCGCGAGGTCCCGACGCGATCCGCGTGTCACCCCCACTCCGCTGGGCCTCCCAGGAGCCCACGAAAGTGCCGACAGTTGCGCAGTTGGCAGCTCCCCCCGCAGGGAGCCGCGAGGTCTCGACGCGATCCGCGTGTCACCCCCACTCCGCTGGGCCTCCCAGGAGCCCACGAAAGTGCCGACAGTTGCGCAGTTGGCAGCTCCCCCCGCAGGGAGCCGCGAGGTCTCGGCGCGATCTGCGTGTCCCCCCACTCCGCTGGGCCTCCCAGAAGCCCAAGAAAGTGCCGACAGTTGCGCAAGATCGCAGCTCCCCACGCAGGGAGCCGCGAGGTCTCGACGCGATCCGCGTGTCACCCCCACTCCGCTGAGCCTCCCAGGAGCCCACGAAAGTGCCGACAGTTGCGCAGTTGGCAGCTCCCCCCGCAGGGAGCCGCGAGGTCTCGGTGCGATCTGCGTGTCCCCCCACTCCGCTGGGCCTCCTAGAAGCCCAAGAAAGTGCCGACAGTTGCGCAAGATCGCAGCTCCCCCCGCAGGGAGCCGCGAGGTCCCGACGCGATCCGCGTGTAACCCCACTCCGCTGGGCCTCCCAGGAGCCCACGAAAGTGCCGACAGTTGCGCAGTTGGCAGCTCCCCCCGCAGGGAGCCGCGAGGTCCCGACGCGATCCGCGTGTAACCCCACTCCGCTGGGCCTCCCAGGAGCCCACGAAAGTGCCGACAGTTGCGCAGTTGGCAGCTCCCCCCGCAGGGAGCCGCGAGGTCCCGACGCGATCCGCGTGTAACCCCACTCCGCTGGGCCTCCCAGGAGCCCACGAAAGTGCCGACAGTTGCGCAGTTGGCAGCTCCCCCCGCAGGGAGCCGCGAGGTCCCGACGCGATCTGCGTGTCACCCCCACTCCGCTGGGCCTCCCAGGAGCCCACGAAAGTGCCGACAGTTGCGCAGTTGGCAGCTCCCCCCGCAGGGAGCCGCGAGGTCCCGACGCGATCTGCGTGTCACCCCCACTCCGCTGGGCCTCCCAGGAGCCCACGAAAGTGCCGACAGTTGCGCAGTTGGCAGCTCCCCCCGCAGGGAGCCGCGAAGTCCCGACGCGATCTGCGTCACCCCCACTCCGCTGGGCCTCCCAGGAGCCCACGAAAGTGCCGACAGTTGCGCAGTTGGCAGCTCCCCCCGCAAGGAGCCGCGAGGTCCCGACGCGATCTGCGTGTCACCCCCACTCCGCTGGGCCTCCCAGGAGCCCACGAAAGTGCCGACAGTTGCGCAAGATCGCAGGAGGCGACAGATGCGCAGATCGCAGCCCCCCAGAGGGCGCCGCGAGGAGGAGGTAGGAGGCAGGAGGGGGGTGGGCGGGAGGACGGAGCGACCAGAGTGCTCTATTCAAAACGAGTACCCAACCAAGGGAGGGTTGGGAAAAACACACGAAGGCTATTCGACAAAAAGCCACGCACGCCTGCCCGAAAAGCACACTGGCGGCTCTCCTGCCCGGTCGTGTTCCGATCCAAACTGGTCCCTGGACCCTTGGCGGGCTGCTTCCTGGCCCGTGTTTCGAAGCGGACCCCAACCGCCGCGGCGACGACGAGCCTCCCAGGGGTGAATATGAGACGAACAACGCCAGGGAACGCAGCTGTTGTATCGACGCTGCAAATGCAATGTTACGTGTCGACATGCATGTGTATGTGCACATGTGTGCGCTTTTGGATAACGCATTTGTGCACTGGAAGCGCATGTACCTGCAAATGTACATGTGCATGTGAACGTATATGTACATGCGCATGGAAAATACACGGTTAGACCGTATGCAGCTTCGATATACACTTGAACGAATATTTGACAAGGTTCCTGTACCTGCCCACAAACACAAGGTTTCGAATCGATTAAGCACGTTTCCCGCATATCAGCCGAACACCTTTCTTCATACAAGCGCATGTATGCTGTATATAAGTGATCAAGGTTTTAGGGCGAATTGCTCACCACATCCCAAATATGGGTTTCTGGATGTGCGTCATTGGTGTGACGCTTCCGGCTCCCACTCTCGGTCTCCCCTCCCCCTTCCTCCTCCGCCCCTGTTCCTTACAAGCAACCCCCCCGCGCCGCATCCCCAAGCCGGTCGAAAGTGCGGGCTGGGCGTTTCGCCTGAGACTTGCCAGCCATTTATAACCACTTACTATACCGTATGAGACTTCGCCTGAAAACATCCTGAAATTTGGAACCTGTAACAGCGTCGCGGATGGAAGGCGGGTCGCTTCAAAACGTTGCTCGTCTTACCGCCGCGCGCGTCCGTTTTTTTTTCTAACTTTGCAGCCGTTTCGCGTATTGAAGGCCGGGTTGTTTTCAAAATGTGGTTTTCGTCTTAACGCCGAACAAATTCGTCTTAAAGTTCGCAACACTTTCACTGATGGAAAAGCGGGTGGTTTTGACAGTGTGAGCCCCAAATCATTGATTTTCGATGCGTTGTTCGATGTTCGAGGGGTCTCCAATTTTTTTAACTTCCGATACCACGGAACGTCCCAAAAAGGCCTTCAAGGGCGACGCAAGACGGCCCCAGAGGCCCCCAAGAAGGCTCCAAGACGGCCAAGAGGGCGCCTCGACGGAACAAGACGCGCCCAAACGGGCCACGAGGGACCCGAGACGGCCCCAAGAAGGGCCCGAGAGGGAAAACAAAAACTGAAAATCCGAGCCTTCCTCCCCAAGAGGCGCCCAGGAGGGCCCAAGAAGCCCCCAAGAAACCCCAAGAGGCCCACAAGAGGTCCCCACGAGGCCCAAGAGGCCCCAGAGAGGCCCCAAACAGCCCCTCCGAGATTTCAAAACAGCCTCCAGGAGGCTCCCGAGAGGCCTCGACCAGATCCAAAAGGCCTCAAACCCACAACCCAGGCACGGTGGCGGGATGGGCCGAAAGCCAATAGATTTGTGCTGTGCGCCCGTGTTCCACCAGCACCTGTACCACAGGTTTCGCGATTGGTTTCACAAGCAATGCAGAAGTATTGTGTATAAGAGGCCGCAAAATCACAAACCTTAACAGTCTTTGCTCCCTCGCTGCCCCAAATGCGCCCGAGATCCGCCATACATTCACTGTTGGGTGCGGACATGAAGACTCTGAAAGGCCGATCGATCCCGGAGCCCAAGTGAGCTCAATGATCCCTCAACAAGAAGACGCTACCGAATAACTAATAAAATTGTATGTTTTGGACGCTACGGAGGATTGAACGAACGACGGCGAAAAAAGAAACGAGGGGTTGAACCAAAATGAAGGGAAGCACGAACACCCAGAAACCGACAATTCCGAAAGCATGGCTGCTCAGAAAGAGGTAGTGTTGGTTGCAGATCGTTTCGAACGCAAATTCGTTCGGAAACTGGTTGGTTCTAAAACCGCTCATTTGGGAAACAGGTAATCGGCAAAATGCCCGCACACTTGAATCCAGAGTCAGCTGCTTCGATGTGCGGGTAACGTGCCTAATATTCTAGAGAAAATCTGTGGTTGCAAGAGTATGAATGTATGTTCGCAGTTATTCGTACAATGTCCACGTTTGTGCTTGTATATGGATGTGTGCATGGGTGTATGTATGCAGATTACATGTATGCATGTGTGTAGGCATGTGCGTATACACTTGTAGCTGTACTTAAGTATGCGTATGTGGATGTGCGTGTGCACACGCGCATGCACATGCATATGTGTCGTTTCTTTCTGCGCGTCCCCGCTGAGCACGACGCTCTCCCCAAAGGACGTCCGCGAGCCGTGCCACGCCGCTCCGCGCCGCCCACCCCCCCTCCCCCACGGGACCGCCGCGAGCCGAACTTCCAGGCGGCAAAGGCAGTGCGCGCCGCTTCCGTCAGCACCACCCGCAGCGCGTCGCCCTGGCCAGGGCCGTCTGACCTGCGCCAGCGGGGCCAACTGCACAGAAGTCAATACCAGAAGCAAGGAGTTGGGACGCGTCCAACTCCACTGCCCCCTCGTCCCGCCTCCGTCGTCCTTCCTCTCTCCCTTGCCGCATCTCACCTCACTCCTCCCGCCTGCCTGCTCCTTCCCAAGTCCTACCTCTTGCCTCATTCGCCCTCGAAGCTCCCTCTTCCCTCCTGTACCCCCGCTTCCCCTTCCCTCCTCCTCCCTTCCGCAAATTCTCCTCATGCCCCTTATGTCCCCTCCCCATCATAACCCAGGAGAAGCTACGCAAGCACTGTCGGAGGCTGGCTGTGCACGGGATATAGACTATTCGATGAATATGCTGAGCTTGATGACGGAGTTAGGCTTCAGCCTTTCTGTGGAGCCAGAGCTCTCTCGGCCTCTGCTGGTCATTGTAGGATCTGGTGCCCGCATTTGAAAAGAGAACGACATGAGGACAAGACAAAAGAGCGATGAGCAGAGGAAGAAAAGGGGAGAAAGACAATGGGGACAATAACGAGGAGTAGGAGGGAGGCGACAACGGGGACGCGGAAGTGGGAGAGGAAGCGAAGAAGAGGAGGAACATGAAGAAGAGGAGCACGTGGAAAGCAGGCGGCGAGCAGACCAAAAGGGTGTCAATGAGGGGGGGGGCGAGAGCGGAAAGGCATTCTAGCCTTGACCGCATCAGGGCCATCCTTGGGAGAGCTGGCCCTGCCCCGACGCACACCATGCCCCTGCAGCCGCAAGAAAACTCGAACGCACGCGCGTCTGTCGATAACGTTTCTGGGAACTTTGGGGGCCTCCACGTTGTCATGCGGGTGGGCAACACTTCTGTTCGCAATTATGTTCCGCTCATGTTGGGCGAAGTCTCTTCTGCTTCGCTGGGTTCGACCCAGTCCGAGGGAACGTGAAAACGATGTGAGGGGCGAGGAATGGCGAGACTCCACAGGCCAGCGTACCCAGAAGACGTCCAGATCACGTGCACCCTCACGGCAGATCGACGTCCGCAGAAGCCAGGGACGGAGGGACGGCGAGCCGTCCGAGCGTGCATCGCCGAGGCTTAGTAAGAGGTTTGCCATGCAGGTGGCACCGAGGGTGACTACTTTCCTCCGCAAGGGATCTGGCCCAGAGCTTCCTCTGCGCCGTCGGGCCTTTCGCCCCGAAACGGAAGGGATGCAAGAAGCAGGGGGGCGGCGGCTCTCCTTCGTAGCATGCGTGGGTGATGGGAGGGTGCAGGACATGCGTTTCGCAAAGAGCACGAGAGCCGTCGATCGTCCACCACAGCCAACTCCAAACGAGGAGGCCACGACGCGCCAAATGCGTGTCGACAACTCTTCTGAAACAATAAGATGAGATCGAAAAAATGCATGGGCGCAGCATGCCGAAAAATGCGGGCTGAGCAGCGTCAAAGGAGGAGGAGGAGGAGGAGGAGGAGGAGGAGGAGGGGAGGTGCCTTCACGCGTGCACGCTGCGGGCAAGATTGCATTCACATCCGCCGCGCCTTGGGATGTCGGGCCCCCGCCCCCGGAAACCAGAGGCGCGGTAGCCCTGCCCACTGCGCCTGGGCCCGTGGGCGATTCCAGGAAAGTGCGAGAAGTCAGAAAGTCCGAACGTTGCCCGCTGTCCCCCTGCAGGGGGATTTTGGAGGAAAACTAAAAAACATGTAAAAAAAACACTCCCAAAATGGTCAAAAATAATGGACAAATAGTTCCCGTACTATTGTTTGACTGTTTTGGAATATTCCTCCTGTAGAGGGACAGGCCCGACTTAAGGCTATCTTGTAGCAGCGGCAGCCGAGCAGCGGCGGGGCGCGCCGGGGCCACGGCAGGGCACGCCGGGAGGAGGGCGCGAAGAGGCGGAGGGGTGCGAGGCGGCCGGGGGTGCCGTGATTGTAAAGGTTGCCCCCGCGCGCGCGTCAACCTGGGATCCACCCCTGCTTTGGCGCCCCTCCCGCTCCTCGCCCCCGCCCCTCTCTCTCTCTGGAGTTGTGGATGCCACGCCAACGGACACCCTCACAGTCATATCATCGAACTAAACATGTGTGTAAACTATGTATAGGGAAGATGTCCCGAACATGTATATAACACATGTTTACCTGTAAAAAAACGTTGACACATTTCTTTGACATCTGGAAGTTATTGGGCAACACGTTTCCTCTCCATTGATCGTCCTCCACAACTCTAGAGGCCTCCTAGATGGGGTCCGAGTAGATGGGGTCGGAGGATCTCGCCGCGTCGCCGATACATCGGCGATGCATCGCCGATGTATCGTCGATGCATCGGCAACGTCGGCGACGCATCGGCGACGTCGGCATGGAGAAAATCGGGCTCCACATCGAGCCGCATCGCCGATGCATCGGCGATGCGGCGCGATCCTCCGACCCCATCTACTCGGACCCCATCGAGGAGGCCTAGAAACTCTAGATCTCCGCGTCCGTGGCTCTCCGACATGCTCCTGCTGGGCACCCACCGCGGCAGCAGCCCGCGCTGGGAAGCGGGGGGCAGCGGCGGGCGAACGACCCCTGCTCCGCGGGCTCGAAGAGCATCGCCTCGCGCTGCAGCGGCCGGCGGGGAGAGAGGAAGGGGAACTGGGACACACAAATAAATACACACAAATAAAATTATCCCCCATATTTTCCCATATTTTCTGGGAGTTTGTCTTCCCCCCCACTTCCCATATTTTCTGGGAATCGCCGATTAATTGTGTCTGTGTGTTTCTTTCCCTCCTGAAGAGAGGAAGGACGAGGGCGCAGAGTGTGGGGAAGAGGATGGGCAGGGCGGGGCCGGGCAGGGAGGGGAGGGCCTCGAGGGAGGCACTCCGGGGAGGGACGGGCAGAAAGCGGGTGGCGGCGGGAGGGCGAGGGGTGGCGAGAGGGGGAAGGGGTTGGAGTGCACCTGCGGGGGGGAGGACATCCTCAAAGAGCCTGAGGGTCTGGAGCAGAGGATCCGGGGCTTCAAGCGAGGCGAGATGAGGCAGCTGGGTTGGAGAGACTGCAGGTGAATCGGCCACCCGCAGGTCGGAAGGGGGATCCAGCGCAGATCCCAGACATCTGGTGCGGATTGTCAAAAAACTTCTTCGACCGTCTCCTCGCTGAGATGAGCTCCTCCCATCCAGCGGGCATGAAAAAAACGTAGGAATAAACCAACCGAGGATTAGAAAAACGAAGGTATTAAAAACCCGAGGGTCTGTTACATCCTCGTTTTTTATAGTTACCCTCGCGCTTTTATACCCTCGCCTCCCCCCACGCCCCCACGCCTTCTTCTCATTCGCCCCCTCCGCTGCTCCCCTCCCCTCGCCTCCCACATCTTGCCTCCCTCCGCCCCAACCCTCCACCCACCATCCTCCGCAACTTCGTCATCGGTGTTGTGTGCCGTCGTCGTCGTACTCCTCCTGTTCCTGGTCCTCCTTATTTGAAATCCGCGCTTCCCTTTCCTCATACTCCCCGTCTAGAAAAAGAAAAACGCCATAAACAGAAACCTTTGGCACTCCGCACCGCCTCGGGAGCCCAGCGCGGATCCAAGAAATCCGCGCGGAGCCCAAAAGTTTATGTTTATGGCGTTTTTGTTAGGTCGAATCCACGCCTCCATTTCCTCATATCGGGACGGGCGAAAGGGGGGGATAGCAAAGAGGGGGTTTGAGAATCAGCTTACGTAGCTGATTTCAACGGCGCCTCCCGGCGCCGGGGAATGGGCCTGGCGGCGGGGCCGAAACCAGCTGCGTGCAGCAGATTTCGTAACCCCTCCTTTCCCAATCCCCCCCTTCGTTCAGTCCGTCACCGCACGGTTGAGACCCTGGAAGTTCCTGTCGCCCGAGACGTCCTCGGAGAGGGACTCGAGTCCCAAAACCGTGCGGTGACCCCGAATCCCCAACGACTCACCGCACGGTGTGGTCACCGCCCCGTTTGGGGGCCCCCGACATACTCCTCCTCTCGAGCCGCGGGTCCGCCCCTGGCCTTCCTCCAGGGGATGCTGGAGGCCGGGAAGAACCGCAGCAGCTGCTCGGCATCCGCGGGGCCTCGGGCTGTCTGCAGGAGCTGCGCGCAGGCGCCGGGACAGGCCCACATCTGCGTGCAACCGCTGCGACTGCCATGCCCGGCCAGGAAGAACAGCGAGGATGAAGACTCTTCCTGGGAGGAGGAGACAGGAAGAGAGAGAGCGAGAGAGAGAGCGAGAATGAAAGGGGGAGGGAGAGAGAGAGAGAGAGAGAGAGAGAAGACGAACCAAACAACCGCAATGACAACCGTGGCTACGACGACGACAAAGACGACGACGACGAATACGACGACGACGAATACGACGACGACGAATACGACGACGACGGCGACGACGGTGACGGCGACAGCGACGACGACGGCGACGAACGGGCGGGGAAGCGGAGGCTGTCGCGGACGCGGTGGGAAATGAGCAACCGATTTGCGATTTGACCTACGTAACGACTCGAGTTCGCTGCCTGGTGATTCGGGTTATGTACAAACGATGATCTGCGCGCGCACGGAGCAGCGGCACTGGCATCGCAGGTAGCGCGAGAAGTCGCGGGCCATTTGCTCCGATGCTCAGCACGTGGGGCCTTGAGCAGAACCAGCTTACTTCGAAGGGCGCATCTCGAGCCAGCGTGCTGCTCGCTCGCTCCTGGAGACGCGGGGGCGACGCGCCTGACCATCGCGCACCTGGCTGCACGGCCCCGATGCCGCCCCACGCAACTCAACAGTCCTCCTGCTGGGATGAAGCGTCGCATCCCCAGGGTAACGACCAGATGTCTTCCCCGATGCGAACACTCGGCGGACCCACGCGAGACGGAAATCAGCCCTGAACGAGCGGGCTCCGCAAGTCAAACGCGTACCCGGCCCCCGGCGCAGGAGGGAATAGAGGGACGAGGGGCATGATACCGAGCATCCCTTGCCTACCTGACAGAACAGGCAGATCAGATGCTCTGCGCGACCAGTGAAACCCGGGGGGAGGGCTGGGCCTTACATGCTCCCCATCATCAGCGAGAGAACGAGGGGGAAAGGGGCAAGAATGGGAGCAACATTTTATGGCCCAAGTGATTCTGAACCCCGCTGCCGGCCGCCGCCGCAGTCAGCTGGACAGCACGTGCTTGCGCGGAGGCTTCGCAGCCGCCTGCGATGCCACCAGGGCAGGGAGCGGAGCATCGCCTGGCGGCGATGCCCTGCGCACTCCTCCTCCTCCTCCTCCTCCTCCTCCTCCTCCTCCTCCTCGTGCTCCTCCTGCTCCTCCTCCTCCTCCTCCTCCTCCTCCTCCACCTCCTCCTGTAGAGGCCGCAGGGATCGTCGTGGTCCAGAAGCCCAGGGCCTCCGCCCGCTCAGGACTCGCCACGACTCTGCGCCTTCGCCCCACGGGCAATTTTCGCATCAGCTACCCCTCGAGAGACGAAACTCCGGCACGCCCCCGTGGACGAGGTCCTCGCCCAGAACGCACCGTACAATCAGACCTTTGACAGAAGAGCACCCTCTGACCCTCCGCCGGCTGAAACACACGGGACATCAAAGGGTACCCTCCCCAGGATGCACCAGAACATCCATCACGCACGAAGAACATCAGGATACCCTCCCCGAACCGACCTCGATCTCATACCTCGGCCCGACTGTAACCTTGACGACGTCCACGAAGGGTATGGCCTCCAAACAATTCGACACTGCGTCACCTGAGCGGGTCTCCCATGTAGCGTCAGGTCGGGCATGTCGTCCTAGAGGCAGGTGTTGTAAGAAGAATGTCAAAAAAGGCCAAACACATTCCTCAACAATAGTAAAACGTATCAAACATGAATCGTCCCCGTATTATTTTTGAATATGTTTGAATGTTCCTCCTGTAGAGGGACATGCCCGACTGAAATGCAGGTCCGGGCTGCCTCCCTGCCTTGCGAGTCAAAGACAACCGCTGCTATGATCCTGCGACATTCGACCTATAGAAAGCTCCTTCAAAATCACTTGGGGCTTGACTGCGCGCGTAACCTCTGCCCGAAACACCCCTTATCCTCTTTGAGGAGGGGGAGGAGGAGGAGGAGGAGGAGGAGGAGGAGGAGGAGGAGGAGGAGGAGGAGGAGGAGCAGGAGGAGGAGTAGGAGGAGGAGGAGGCGGAGAAAGAGAAGGAGGAGGAGGGGTGAGCGCGCGGTTTGGGTCGTTCTCCGAGGATGGTCTCGGGCAGCTGGGCCCTCCAGGGTGCTCTAAAGCCGACGACCTTCGACCCAGAGGGTCCCCTCAGAATCTCCTGGGCTCGACTGTGCACGCGCAACCTCTGCCCGAAGCACCCCCGACAGGCTCTCCCGGGGGCCTGGGGCCCCCGGAGACGGAGCACAGCCCGAACACGCCCAACTGGAGGCCCCCGCAAGGGCTCAGAACTGCCCAAAGACGCATCCCGAAACCTAATCTCGATCCTCGGTCCTCGAGGCAGCTACGCCGGGGACTGAGGTCGGCGAACTCGGCGAGGTCACGCTCGAGCCTGCCGCCGTTGCGGTAGAACTCATGCTCCTGAAGACGAGGCAAATGCGGCGACAGCCAGGCAGCCGAGGGGTCAGCCCAGACCTCCATCGTCATGATGTTTCAAAGTGGCGGCTCTTACTCAAATTCGGCCTCATGGGATCTGTGTCTGGGTCCCAGGGCTATTGACCGAGATAGACAACCGGCCCCGACATACGCGTCGCAGGAGAGACCATCGTCAATAAATAGCTCACGAGCTGACACCATGCACCGCTGGCAGAAAGAAGGACATGACACTTTCAGATAATGAACTGAACCGAATTCTGTATACATCGTGGAGCAAGCAGATCCGTTACAGACACACGCACGCACATATGTCGGCCAGACCCCTTGCGGGCCATCAGGCTCCGCGGATCAGGCTTGCTGCTCCCTGCTCCAGTTGCAGTTTCCAGTCAGAGATGTTACAATTCTGTGTTCTGCCTCCTACTGTGAATCGTCGAAGTCCTGGCGAGGGGGGGGATCAGAAAAGGACCCTGGTTGCCACCACCTGGGGGGGTTCTCAGAATACCTGGGGGGTCCTGGGACACGGAGAAAAACGTGAGCTTCGCGCCCCCGAAGCCAGAACCCATAGTAATTTAAACCATCGTTGCGCCCCCAAGGCCACAATCCTTGACAAGTGTGCAACACTCGCTTCCCCGAGGCCATAAAGCCTCACGCATAACATTGTGTTCGCGCTCCCGAGACCATACCTCTTGGTGAGTGACGCCATGTTCGCGTCTCCGACGCAACACTCTTTCGTAAGCCACGCAATGTCTGCGTCCCCGATGTCACGATCCCTTCGTCAATTACGCGTTCCCCACGTCCATGGAATCATAAACCCTCGTGAGGTACGCAATGCTCGCGCTTTCGAGGACACAATTCCTTTATAAAAGGCACCCAAGACAGTACAAAAGGCCTCCGAGACGGCCCAAGAGTGGTCCAAGGCGCCTAAGATGGCCCAAGATGCCCCCAAGAGCGCTCCAAGAGCCGATGGGGCAAGATGGCCGAAGATGGCCCAAGAGGCCCCCATGACGGCGCCCAAGCCTGACAAGATTGCTTTTGCATACCCTATTCTCCGAGATAAGGGACCGGCGGCAGGGGGCAAATCCCTCACGGATAATCACGATACATGCGTCTGGGCATACATGTCTGTGGATCTCATATCATGCGGCGCGCCGTCATATCATACGCGGCGCGCCGTCATATCATTCGACTTATGGACATACATGTGGCTAGCGAGGCGGAGCGAACAATTGCTGGGCCCTGCTCTTGAGGGCCAGGTCACACACACACACACACATACATTCACAGCGCGCGATGGCGGGCCAGGCTGCACCGCCAGCGCCAGCACGGTGCATAGCGACAGCCCTCGCCCCCCCCCGAAACTAGGATACAAACCGCCGCAAGATGCCGCTGCACTTCCTCCTCGTCCTCCACTTCCTCGTCCGCCTACTCCTCCTTCTCCCCTCTCTTCATCCTCATCATCACATCGTCCTTGTCATCAGTCTGCTCCTCGTGCCCGCCTCTCGTCGTTTTTTTCTCCTTCATACTCCTCATACTATGGATTCTTCTTCTCGCCCCTCACCGTCCTTCTCCTCCTCCTCCTCCTCATCCTCCTCCTCATCCTCCTCATCCTCCTCATCCTAATCCTCATCCTCATCCTCATCCTCATCCTCAGCATCATCATCATCATCATCATCATCATCATCAGCATCAGCATCAGCATCAGCATCATCATCATCATCATCATCATCATCATCATCATCATCATCATCATCACCATCACCGGAATCAGCATCAACATCATCATCATCATCAACAACAACAACATCATCATCACCCCACGTGTTCAACAGATCGGGCGGATAATGCACCAGAAACCCGTCAGCCTGTCCTTCTCCCGTCAGCCCGTCCTTCTCCTGCTCCTCCCTCCTCCTCCTCATCCTCCTTCTCCCGAGGAGCTCCTCCTCCCCCGCAGCTGCTCCTTGGACGTGTCGAAGCTGTCTTCTACCCAGCGCTCGATCTGGACCGCCGCCTCGCTCACGGGGTTCCCCTGCAGCCTGGCCCGCAGATGCCAGGAGAGGACGCGCGCGCTGCGAAAGGTCGCCCGGAGGCAGCAATGCTCAGCCTTTCCCCATCCTCCTAATCTGACCCTGTGCCGCAGGCATTGAGAGAAATGCCCTCACGTCTATCTGAGTGATGTCTTCGAGATTGTCAATCGCGGGCCAGAGTTCTGAGAGCGCTCCTGGGCGCGTCTGAGGCATTCCGCGTGTCTTCTATTTCCAAAATCTTTTTTTTTCTCCTGAGCTCGGGCCGTTCTGGAAGCCCGCTCACTGTGCTCTTTGTGCATCACTCCTCGTGAGCTGGGGGGCAGCCGAGAGCCTGCCCGGCGCCGAGAACGTTCGAGTGGCCATGGCAAGTCGCGGCAGACATTGTCCGCATGCGCGCCCTGCAGCGGCACGTGTCCTAGAATAGATCAAAACGATCTGACTGTGCCTCCCGTGTCCACTGCCTTTTGTAACCGCCTCCTCTGTGACTGCGCCAACTCTCCTCTTCGCGCTGGCGGGAGAAGACGCACTGCCTCGACCGAGCCAGTCTCAAGCACATTCGCTTTGAAACGCGCGCCCGAGGCTGGGTAGTGGATCCAGCCCGTCCAACCTCAGATGCTGCAGCGAGGAGGGCACGCCTGGATGAGATTGACAGTGCTCAATGACCAAGCTGGCAGGCCCGCACCCCAGAGTAAAAAGGGGATACAGTCCGTCCAACCGCCGTTCAAAATGTAGACTGCAGCGGGCAGGGGACGCCTGGATGGGGAACTGGCCGCGTTCGATCACCAACCCAATAGGCCCGGCCAAAATTCTGGGGGCCAAAACGTTCAACCATGGGCACAACACCTCCATATCGGATGCACAAGACGCTTCAGCACCTCATGTCGCTGTAAACCCCACGCTTTTGAGACAAGACGTGAGAGCACGGACATATCAATACCGTCGTGCGGCAGAGCCGACCCATCCACGCCACAATTAGAGGGTGGAGGAGGAGGAGGAATAAGAAGAAGAGGGGGAAGGAGAGAGGAGGCATGGCAGAAAGGAAAAGAACACACGCAAAAACGACGAAGAAGGCCAATCAGCACACCGCCAGCCATTCTATATCCGCACGAGCCCGCTGCGCACTGACTGTGGTCTGTCAGCTCGCCGTCGGTCAGCTCAAGGAGCGGCAGAAGGCAATACGGTGGAAAATTGGTTGTCCCCCCCTGCATATGACAAACAGACTTAGACGCTGGATACATTATGTATGATGGGAGGTCCTCGGCATCATTCTGAGAGGTGGCATCCCCGTACCCTCCCACCTACCCTCTGGTCTTCAAAATATGCCTTTCCCGATCGAACAAGTGTCATCTTCAAGCCTGCTGGGCGAGGATAAGACCGCTACGCTGCGAAGCAACCATGAATGCACAGCAAAAAATTGTGTTTGCGGCGTCTGTCGAATGCCATATAGGCCCTTGTAGGCAGTGCCAATAGATACTTCGCAAGCCATCCAGCCAGGATGTCCTCCGGTATATCATTGTTTGTGCAGCAGCCTACTTGGCTCAAAAAGTTGGGAGCATTGCATCGATCGGACCCTACATGAAAAACTTCCAAACAAACCTGAAGGGAGGTGTGGGGTTCCTGCGCGGGGTGTCCAAAGAAAACAAGAAACACACTTAGGATGTGGGGGACACAACTATTTGCCTCACTGCTCTTGCACGCCGGCCATCCAGCCATGCTTCCCACTATGACGTTGAACTGTGACGTCCTCGGCTGGACAAGTGGGCAAAAGCGAAAAATGCATTGAAAAGGAAAAATTGCTTGCTCTCTGCTCCCGCATCGCCCACCCCCGACACCACCCACACAGCCACTAGATCCTCCTTCCTGGAACTCCTACCCGGTGGCCTCCAGCCACAATCCTGCTATGCCGATTCTGTCATAGCAGCCTGGCTGATGCGCCCGAGGACCGTGTCATGCCCGAAAGACTATTCTCGCCATCCACCCAGTCGTCGTCCGCGACGAAGGCGACGGGAACGACAAACTTCACGACACGCCTCTTCTTCTTCTTGTCCGCAGCCCATCGCCGGAGCAACGCCTCTTTCGCGTAAACCAGCAGCGGCGGGCAGCTGAGCCTCTGCCGCTGCCGCGAACTGCCTGGGCCTGTAGCCGACGCTTTCCTCGGCGCCAGCAGGTGCACAAGTCTAGCGGACTCCGTCCAGCAGTCCTCCTCGCAGCGGATGCCCTCTAGCGCGCACCAGGCCAAGGGACGATCTTCGGGGATACAGGGCATGTCCACCCCCTCGAGCACGCGGATGCCCCGCGGGGACCGCCGATCTAAGAAGACGCCGACGCAACGCGAACCCGAGCCAGCGCACGCCGCCTGGCCGAGCGCGTAGTTGGCCAGAGCGTCGAAGATGACGACCTGCACGTTTTGCCGCGAGGCGCCGTGCAGCCGACTCGACGGATCGCTCAGCAAGCTGCGCCTCTGTTCGCCAGGGCCGCGCGTGCAGGGCACTCCCTCGGCTGTGCAGGCCGCTGGCCCAGGACCCCTCCTGGCGCCGCGGCCATGGGCCAGAGCCGAATTAGATGCCACTGCGAAGTCGAAGCCTGCGTCCTGCCCCTTGCACGGCAGGCCCAGCCCCCACGCGGCGCCAGCCATGTCCTGAACTCGGGGGGGGGGCCAGAAAAAGCAAGTGGCACCTGTGTCCCGCGAGTGCTTGGGCCACGAACGTCTTGAGCCAAAATGGCTACGGATTCTATTTCCAAAAGTCTTGGGAGCATCAGTGGGGATCCACATTTCAACATGGCCTAATTTGACGTGAATGGCCCAGGGAGCCGTCCTGGGACTCTCTTCTGGGCTTCTTGGGCCGTCTTCGAGGCTCTGGGGGCTAGCCATTCAAGCCAAAGCGTTTGATTGGCGGTCATATGGTCGCTCGGTTCAATGGCGTACAAGACGACCCAGGTGGCCCCCAAGGGAACCCCACGAGGGCCCCCGAGACCTCCAAGGAGGACCCCGAGGCACCCCGAGAGTTCCCAAAGAGGGGCCAAAGTGGTGGCACACGAGGCGAAGGACATTTAGGGTCCCTCTGCCCGAAGATGACCGCCGAGACCGCATCGAGAGACCCCCAGACGTCGACGACGCCGACGCCGACGCCGACGCCGACGCTGACGCTGACGACGTCGACGACGACGACGACGACGACGACGACGACGACGACGACGACGACGACCGACTGCCGACGATACGACGACGATGCCAACGGCCGACAGCCGACCGTCGACGGGGTCGATTCATCAGCCTGGGGGGACCATTTGTTAACCACAAGCTTACATGACCAGCGACCCCTTCCGGCCCCAAGGCGGTCCTTATTTCAGCGTCTTGGCTGTAAGCCCTCAACGAGACAGGGGCAAGCCAAGTCAGAGAGCCTGCAGCGGCAAGGGCAGCGCAGCAGGGTCGAGCCAGCCGTGGGTCCTCCCTATATGTTATCCTTGGAGAAGCGCGTCCGACCCGAACATATAGTATACCCATCTTTCAGTGTATCGCTTCCCGAGCGGTGTGGCCAGAAAGCGCACGTCACGACGCATATACTATAAGACTGTTCGGTGTACGCATCGCCCCTGGGGGGGCCACGCGCACATAGTATGAGTACGTTGGGGTGACGCCGACCCTAGATCACCAGATTGGGAGTTGGGGCGCTGACTGGGGGTGAGGGTGGGTTGTGTTCTCAACCCATCGGGGTCTTCGTGAGATGGCCGCCGTTTCACTGCCGCCGCCCTCCACCGACCTTCCGCCGCCTTCAGCCGAGGAAGAGGATGGCAAGTCCTTCGATTCGTGAAGGCGGCAAGGCCCTTTTTGGAACGCCTCAGGCGAAAGGAGGAGGGAGGAGGAGGGAGGAGGAGGGAGGAGGAGGGAGGAGGAGGGAGGAGGAGGGAGGAGGAGGGAGCAAAATAATCATCAAGGAGGAGGAGGGAGGAGGAGGAGGGAGGAGGAGGATGGAGGAGGAGGGAGGAGGAGGAGGGAGGAGGGAGGAGGAGGGAGGAGGAGAGGAGGGAGGAGGAGGGAGGGAGGAGGAGGGAGGAGCAGCCACGAAGAGGAGGGAGGAGGAGGGAGCAAAAGAATCATCAACGGCCAAACGGCCACGCGAGGATGCACTCTCGGAGGTCCGCGTGGATCTCTTGGGATCGCCGCTGGACCAAGCCGCCAGGGGTGCCACCATGGGGGTCCAGCGCCGATCCAGGAAACCCGCGGGGACCTCCGAACTTCTGTGCTTGCGCCGCTTGCTTCTCCTCCGAGGAGGGGAAGGTGCCCATGAGGACCGCACCACCCAGCCCCGACCCCAGCCAGGAACCCCCACTCCTGACCCAGTGATCCAGGGGGTCCTGGCTGGGAATGGGGATCGTGTTCGGGGGAACAGCCACCCTCGCCCCCAGCCAGAACCCCCTATTGGACACACAGAGACATACTAGTAATATATGCTATCCTTGGAGGCGCGCGTCCGACCCGAACATATAGTATACCCATCTGGTAGGATATCGCTTCCCGAGCGGTGTGGCCAGAAAGCGCACGTCACAATGCATATACTAAAAGATGTTTCGGTGTACGCATCGCCCCTGGGGGGCGACGCACACATAGAATTAGTACGTTGGGGTGACGCCGACCCTAGATCACCAGGTTGGGAGTTGGGGCGCTGGCTGGGGGTGAGGTTGGGTAAGTTCTCAGCCCATAGAGGTCTTCGTGAGATGGATTCCGAAAAGATGGAGTCGGAGGATCGTGAAGAAGCTCGGGCTCCATCTCGAGCCGCGTCGCCGATGCATCGGCGATGCATCTGCCGCCTGCGAGGCCCAACGCCCAGGCGACGGACACGGGTACGGAATACATAGAAACGATGCCCAACAACAAATGCTGTCCAAAACAAACAACGGCCGCTGTGATGCAGGCGGCCTTCCGTCACAAATGGACCACGCCCGCGACGGCGTTGTCAGCGTGCCCTATTCAAAATGGACGGGAACTGCTGTTGGGTATCGCACCCATTCTGCGGGGTGCGCTCTGACCAGAATTCCGAGGCGAATCCAGCGGTGGCGACGAGGGCCTCCCAGGAGGCCCAAAAAGATAACAAAATCCGAGGCGAGGGTAGCGGTCTGGGTAGGTACCTCGTCCTCCTCTCTGAAATTATGTCTTCTGTCCCTAACTACCCATTTCGCTCGTACCGAACGGAAGCGGATGCGGGCAAGATTTATATCCATACCCAGTGCGTTTTGAACTTTTCTGGAAGGGGCGCCACAAGGACGAGGCGCCCTGGATACTGATGAAAGTCGAGCTTTTAGGGGGCAAATTTATTTATATCCATTGCGCCTCGGGTTTCTGGCGAAGGGAGCCCGAAACTCCATACGGCAGGTTCGTGTCGTGACGACCCCGGCAATGGTTTCTGACACAGCGGTGACCGTTCAACCTTGAACGATCGGCCGTTTCCGCAACGTCCGATCGTTCAACATCGACCGATTCTGGGTCGCTTGCGGCGTTCAAGGTTGAACGCCGGCGGCGGGGTCGCCGCTGGTCGACACGACGCGAACCTACCGTACTGCAGTGGATATGGACAAAAGTATTGCCCGCAGTGGAGGGCACTCTCTGGGAGCGCGCCCAGAACGGGGTGCCACCAGGAGGCGGGGGGAAGCGGCCAGCCACCACAGCTGGGGTGGTGGTCCTTTCTTCGTCAGCGAACTTCGCTCGTGCCGAACTGAAGTGGGCGGCGAGCCTGGGGGAAGTGAGAAGGAGAAGGTCTTCTCAGAAGGCGGCGGGGCTTCTCAGAAGCCTCCCGGCCTGAACAGCGTCCTGTGCCTCCGAGGCAGGCCGAGAAAACTGCTGAGAAGGCCGGAGGACTCCCGAGCCTTCCGAGAAGGCCCGCCCCGTCTGACTTCCACCCCTGAGCTCGCCGCCGGGAGGAGGGGGCGCCGGGGGCCGCCGACAGAGTCATGACCGGGCCCCTCCGCCCCATCTTCGGCGGCACGCACCCAGGGCAACGACAGGGAGGGGGGAGCTAGGCATGAAGGGGGGGTGTGCATCGACCCCCAGTCGTCCATCCATGGGGGGGAGCAAAAGGTACCGATACTGCTGCTCCCCAGACCTCTTCCGGGGCGCGTTCTGACAAGAATTTCAAGGCGAATCCAGCGGTGGTGACGAGGGCCGCCTCTAAGGAGACCCAAAATTGACGAAAACGAGGAAATGGTAGCGTCATCGGTACTCCGAGTCCTTTTTTAAGCGTTGGGGGGGCGTCACCCCCGCCGACAGCCCCGCATCGACCCCCGTCGAAGGTAGCCACCGCTCGCCGAAGGCGCTCCGACTCCCGTCGCGGCGCGACGACGAGGCGAGGTTGACCCCTGTCGGGAGGGGTACCCCCCCACGCTTATGAAGAAACCCAGAATACCTTTTTTCTGAATGAGGGGGGGGTCATCGACCCCCCGTCGTCCATCCATCCCCTTCTCTGACAGGAAGAGCTCGCCGCTGAGGAAGGGCGGGCCTCATGCGCGCGCAGGCCCCCGCGGCAGCCGACGCCGCGCCGCGCCCGCCCCCGGCGCGGCGCGGGGCGCCCCTGCACGCCAGCGGGGGGGGGGCTCGAGCCAGGCGGGTGGCGCCAGACTTCGTCGTGGGCATTCTCTCGTGGTACGGTAGTACGTTTTCGGCTCCCTCCCGCCTCCTCCTCCTCCTCCTCCTCCTCCTCCTCCTCCTCCTCCTCCTCCTCCTCCTCCTCCTCCCCTTGCACCTCACCCCGCCCCCCCCCCGCCGATCACTCTCTCTTCCTCTTCTCTTCTGTTCCTGCTCCCGGAAGTGTGAACGCACGGCCGACCCGATGCTGGCCCGTGCCAGGTTTGGTTTTCGCTTGGTGGATGCGACTTCACGAAACGACCGCAGCGGCGGGGTCGTCGGGGCGCAGATTGCGCAGCGCACAGAACGCACGGCAGCGCTTCACGCGGCCCAACAGCCCTGCGAGGTCGTCACAAACTCGCAATACGTCCAGAGTGGAATCTCCGCGCTCCGGCAGGGCACTTCCCCACGGGAGTTGTCGCACTCTGATTTGTGGGATCTTATCGCATCCCATCGCCGCTGCGGGCTCCTAACGGCGAGGTGAATCAAGGACCACCTCGACGAGGACGGCGCGCGGCCACGCGCGGGGTGTCCGCCAAGGACTGGCTGGGCAATGCCGCCGCGGACGAGCTTGCTGGGGCAACAACCTCGGCGCGGCTGCCGCCGCCGGAGTCCTGGCGGCTCCGACCTCCTGCAGGCTCCGCGGGATCACGCTGCACGCCCTCCGGACGCTGCAGGTGATGCTGGCCGAGGTCGGCACGCGCGCTCCTCGCCGGCGGCGCCTGGCACGCGCACGTCGCCTCGCAGGGGCCAGGGGGGGCGGCCTGCATGCGATGCGGCTGCTGGGCCCGCACGTGGGCACTCCTGGCCAGTCGCCCCTGCGCTGGGGGGGGGGCGCGGGCGCTGCCGCCGCGGGCATCGGGTCTGCTTGGCGGGACGCCATCCAAGCAAGCTCGCTGGGATGCCCGCCCGAGGGCGCCGGACTAATTGAGTGCATGCGCCAGGCTGCGTGCCGCGCGCCTGGCCCTTCCCCTCTCCGCTCCCTCCCCCCCCGCCCCCCCCCCCCCTGCCCCTCTGCT